TGGTTATAATTGTGATTTGATGTATTTTTTAAATTTTACATAAGTGTTTGTTTACCACAAAGTATATTTTGGTCATCCCATTAAAAATAACATTCAAACTGGATCATTTTAGAGCTTTAAAGTGCTGGAAATAGTTGTGTGAAATGCTTGAAAGTCATTGAAAAGTGCTTGAATTTCTCTCTCAAAAGGTTGTACAAACCCTGAAATGAATGATGTAATGCATTCGACTATTTCTACCACAACACCATGGTTACAGTTAGCATTACCGCTTCTGGTTTCCTGATGTATGTCAGCGCTGTTTATAACAGAATTCTGTGCAGAATTTGAATGATTCTCACTAGATCTCGCAGCATCCTTATCATTGTGCGGCGAATTCAAACACTTCTCACTGGATCTCGCAGCATTGTTGCATCTGTGCAGTAAGAGTGTCGCGAAAAAAACTTTGGCTCCCGAGTAAAGCTGTTCTGAGCTCGGACAAGTTTGTCTGCATCTTTGTCTGCGCTGCGCAGCTGAAACGTAGCGAGGTTTAGTTTCGCTTTAGTTTCGTTTGCCGTATGATGTTTCTCAAATGCAAAAGAAATGGTAGCGCTTATGAGTTGGACAACACGGTGGTCGCGCCAGTGCGACCCCTCACAAAAATTAGTCGCACCGGCAGAAAAAGTGGCTGTAAAATGCGACCATTTGGTCGCAGTCTGGAGCCCTGTATACTGACAGATATTCAATGAACAAATGGTTCACCTCATTTGTTATCAGTGAATAAAATGTCTATGAAAAAACTATGAAAAAAAGGCAGCTGTGGTTGCCAAAACTTGACCATAAAAAAAACTGCAGCAACATTTGATGTATATAATGATAAGATAACATACCAACCTGCTGAAGTATTAAAATCTGTTTTGTACATTTATAATACACTGACAAACACCAAAAAACACAGGTGGTAATGAGAAAACCACATGATGAACGTAATGCACTCAAATAGGGATGCACGATATTGGATTTTGCCAATATCCGATATGCCGATATTTTTCAACTAATTTTGGCCAATAGCTGATGCTGATACCAATATATTTCCTTTTGTTTGGAAAAAACACCAAGTCTCTCCTGTGCACAAATTAAAAGCAAATTATTTTTAATTTTGGTTAGTTTTTAACAAGAACATATTTGTTAGAATTAAATAAACAACAATGCAGTTCTTTTATAATGACAGTACATTGAAGATTTTAAAATAACTAAACTATATTCAATTGCTGCATTTTTTTTTTTTTTCAGAGAGATGCAGTGGTAACCTTAACATTTTATTTTAAGATTTATCATTTGTAAATTGTCTAAAGCAAGAGTTGTACAAATTCTGAAAATTCTTTTAGAGCTCATAATTGGTTTCAAAATATAACATATTACACATTAATGAATAAATCAGTAAATATACAATTATTTAAGTGACATGTTTGTGTGGGGTTTTTTGTTGTTGTTCATGTAAGCTATAGCTTCTGAACTTTAAATCAAAACATACTCATGATTTTATGGCATCAATTACTGCGTTATTTAATCAGAAACACAGTCTAAATATTATATGTGTATTTTTCTTTCATTTTATTAGAAGTAGGCCAACAGCGCCCACTACGGAATTAAAACTCCTTACTGAGCGGGCATTAGGAACCGGGGGAGGCTGCCGCTGCACGTGCTATTACCGTTTACTCTATCATGCACCGAACACATAATTCTGTACATGCATATTCTCAGTTTAAAGTGACGTGACATGTGGCCAAGTATGGTGACCCATACTCGGAATTAGTGCTCTGCATTTACCCATCCAAAGTGCACACACACAGCAGTGAACACACACACACACCGTGAACACACACCCGGAGCAGTGGGCAGCCATTTATGCTGCGGCGCCCGGGGAGCAGTTGGGGGTTCGGTGCCTAGCTCAAGGGCACCTCAGTCGTGGTATTGAAGGTGGGAGAGAGCGCTGTACATTCACTCCCCCCACCTACAATCCCTGCCGGTACGAGACTCGAACCCACAACCTTTGGGTTATGAGTCCGACTCTCTAACCATTAGGCCACGACTTCCCCTCTGTTTAAATGCAGCGATCCAAAACGGTGAATCTAATCATCATTCAGGCAAAACTTTGCTTCAAGAATGAGCCACACTGCTGATGTGATGCAATTGCTAGCACACCCTGAGCACATGTGAGTTAATGTATTCCTCTTATCGGCAAGACATATCGGCATAATTTTTCATATCAGGCCGATGCCGATATTTACATTTAAAGCCATTATCAGCCGATTCCGATATTGGTCCGATAATATCGTTCATCTCTACACTCAAACACAAAATAATGCAATAAATATTAATTTTACAACTTAAGATAACTAAATATTACTTAAGATGATAAAAAAAAAAAAAACTAAGAAACACTGTTATTTCCATGAAAAACCATCAAATGTAAAGTGTCACAGACAATTCTGGGAATCTATGTTTTTTCATGTGTAGAAGCAGGCACGTGCACAGGTAGGGCTCAACCTGTGCAGAGAACATGCCCTTTTTGCCCTTACACTCCGAAGTGCCCTTTTTTTGGTGGTGGTGTTTTGTTTTGTTTTTCTTCTTCAA